ATTTAAAAATAAAATAAAGACATTGAAATTGACGTTTGTAACAATTTTTGAATAAAGGCTTATTCCAGTGTTTAGACATGTTCTTGAACAATTCACAACACTTCCTTAAAACAACATTTGAAGTAATTACACAATTTTCGCGACAGTAGCTTTTCGGCTTTCTTGATAATCCAAAAATATTACAAAAGCTGGATTACTCTCGAGAAATGCTACTTTTACGTTGTCCCCATGGCAAAAATCAGTATCGGGGCAAGCATAAACTACTCTCCGGATATTATTTAAATCTTATACGCGAACAGAGAGGTGGCACCCGTGCTTTTACACGCCTAAAATCATAGATAGTATTAAGTTTCATTTCACATGCCAGATTATGTAACTGATTCTGCAGATTCTGTAGATAATGTAAGGGTTGTATCAGAACTTTTCACATGAAACAAGAAGTCATATATACAGTTCTATATAAATTGAACGGTCGCATAACATCATAAAATAAATCTTCATCGATATAAGAACTAATATTCTTGTTGCTGTGAGATCCAATGAGATTGTAATTTGCATAATTTGAATTAATATCGGCGCAAACATGTGTACAGAAGAAGCATTAATATACGTTGGAGATTCTCCAAGTTTTTAAGGCTCACAATAATTCGTTTTCGGTTTGGAGTATTAACTATATAATATTAAAAACAAAGGCACTTTGAGATGTTATTATGGCGGGTTGCATTCGGCATGATATTTAGATGTTTTTTTTTAACAAATCTTCTCATATTTTGGATGTCAAACGGAGTCATTCGTTGGCTCTTCCGAAATTCTGCTTTCGTTAGAGACCCTAATTAATCATAGATTGCTTAATCGTGCTGAGAGCGCGCAAAGGTTATGTATACTGCTGTATAATAACTATGTATATAATGATATAATATATAATAATAAATCATACTATATAATAATTAAAATAATATATAATTTAAATAATATTATAATGCTCATAATAATGGTAATTGTTCTTACCATCAATAATGTCAATACTATTTTCTATAAAAGAGATATTCCTAGTTGTATTTCTAATCAACTAAAACAGCACCATGCATAATAATAGTCCTCTAGTACGATTTATAAACTACGCATTTTTTAGTACGTTAAAAATAAAAGAATGCACTTCGTTAAAATTGCCACTACCTGCGTTTTTAGTTTCAGCTTGAGTCATCACGCGCAATGGCTGTAGGGTTCGTTCGTCGCGAAGAAAGAGCAATTTTATAAATAGGATGCAGGGAGAACTTCTAAAACTATGGTTTAAATACTGCGCGGATGTTCGCAAAATTTTTTCCATCTAGTATTCACTCTAGACACTGCCCATCTCTCGCCTCTCGATCCCCCCCTCTCTCTCTCTCCCCCTCTCTCTCTCTCTCTCTCTCTCCACACATACACACACACAAAACATACAGCCACGGCCATTTGGCTTAAATAAAACTTCAAAAAATAAACTTAAATCAAAATAACACGAAAAATAAGCGTCGCAAAAGCAAATGTCTCAGACGAAAAATTAATATCCCCAATGCGAATATATGCCTGACCTAACATCAAATCTCGCCTCCGCTCCCTGGAGTTGGAAGGGGCAACTTTGAATTCTTAAATGGGAATCCCCATTTTATTGCATATTCGAATTCTACTCTAAAAATTTGTAAGTTTTTTCTAAAAATTTTTTTTTGATTGGTGATACATGGCGCCGTAATCTCAAAAGTGAGAGTTTAGCAATTATCGAGAAATTATACTTTGAATTGAAATATAAAGAAACACCTGCTCAATAATTTACAAACACCTTACTAATGATAACAGTTAAACCCCCACCCCACCATCAGGGATTGGGGTGGAGGTAAACTTGCAAATCTCAAATGGGACTCCCCATTATGTTCATTGAAGAATTAGATTTATTGTGTAGGATTTTTTATTAGTAAGTAGCTGAATTTTTGTCTACAAACTACTTTTAGCATTACGCAATAACAACGAAAGGGACGTAGCAGTTTTCTGTTCCCTTAGAGGTGCTTGTTCTAGGCGTGTCCCCTCGCCTCTCACCATCGGGGTGCAAGATTTTAAATAAAATTACGTAAAATTACTAAGTAATCGCGAATAAAACCCCCCTAAACGTTAAGTCTAATTCTTTTAAAAGCGTACGGTTAATTAAGTATCCCCACCCACATGGCTAGCCGGGCCGACAAAGGTGTATTACAGTTCAGTGAAGTTGTAGGATTGTTTATATTTTCTACAGCCACATTCCACACATATGTCATTTTTGTGCATTTTTTACTGCACATTTTTATTTTATCTGGTTTGGACATGTGTTCCCAAAATGTTAATAGAAGCTTTATGTCATTTACTATTACTACATTACTAAGCGGCACACGTGGCGAAGACTGGTTGTTGAGCATTACTTGCTGGTATTGTGGACAATACTCCTTTTGTTTGTTATAAATGAACCTAATGGGAATACATTAACCATGGTTATATTTCGTAAGCCACAATATAAAGACTTCCATTAATGGAATTGTTTTTGTAGAATTGGTTTTTATGTTTTGTTTAATTTACTTTATAGTACTAATATGCAGAGATTATACTAGATTATATAATACTGTTATAATAGAGACTGCAAGGCCATATTTAATATTACATCACAACATGAACCTGCAGAAATATATCCTACCAGCGAAAATTTTCTCTCCGTGTTGTGATTCACAATTAGGTCCTTAGACAGTTAACACGCCAGTTACGTTTTACCTAGTCCACCAAAAACAAAGTTGTATTCAACTTTTCCGATGCTTAAAGAATTTTTGAATTTATAATTTTCAACAATTCTGAAATATTCATTCAGAGGATTTCATTTCAAGATCTACATTTAAAGAACAGATTTCATTAAGAAAAAATATCTTTAATATTGAATTTTTACATAGTTAATATTTTGTTTGCAAATTTCGAAATTGTAGAGGATTTGCCGAAAAGGAGCAATTTCCTCTATTATACGAGGAGAAAACTTAAAGAAATAGTGGTGTTACAGAATGGCACAGACTTTCCCATATTATTTTTCTATTTCCTTTGGTCTCGGCTGGCTATAAGAATCTCACTCGAAATAGAATTTCTTTGAAGAAGTTGGAGCCGTTTTTAAGAAAATGGCCATTAAGCGCTACTGTAAATTCGAAATTTGTAGCTTTTTTTCACAGAACATTTTTGAGTTTTCGAAAAAGCACATTAACTTTCAAATGTAATTGTGTTTTTAAAATTGCAGGAAATGTGCAGATTTATGGCGTGAAAGATCTTTGAAAACATTAAATTTGTTTAATTTTTGAAAAAACAATAAATACTCCGAAGTGAACTTTGTCATATTAAAGAGTGCAATTAGCACTATTCATTGGAAATGATTGAAGGAGCAGTTTTTGAGAAAATTTTGACAATGTCCGGAGGGCTCCAAGTAAAGTACCCCAAAATTTTAAAGAAAGTTTTTCAAAATCTCAATTTTTAGACTGAAATCAGGTGGACAGTGTTTTCTTCAATTTAGAAAAACATTCTACATATGGTTTAGACCCAAATGATGTTCTCAGACGGTCAGATGGGCGGATTTAAAAAGAACCACTTTTTCGGTATCAGGAGACCCCAAAACGTGTATTTCCATTGAAAACGAACGATTTTCCGCAGCATTACGTAACTTTCCCTATACTACAAATATTACTCTGTATACACGTTCGTATTCGGGAAAGTGAAAAAATGGAGCCTTTTTCTGATTTTTTTAATAAACTGTGGTAAATCGAACCAAAAATTATCTTTTACATATTTTGAGAAAACATTGCTGGTTTTGTCAAAAATGTACATAATTTTATTTAAAGAAGGTCCATTTTTAGACCGGATTTCACTTAAGCAAAACGTTTTTCTGACAAAAATCACATACTTATGTCGCAGCATTATAAAACTTTTCTTCACTGTGTGCGAAGTGTGTTATGATGTGTGTAAATTAAGTAATAAGAGTGGTTCCTAACGCTCATCTGACAAAATTGAGACAAGAGACATAAGGGGTGGTAGGTTAACATCTGATATGTCGCCCGTACTACTTTGAAATGAATCTACAATGAAACTGCTTTACATTGAGTCATTAGTAAAGACCGGATTACCGTGAAACTGGATGTTTTCTTTGCAGAATTGAAATTAGATACAACCTTGTCAGGGAGTTTAATTAAGAAACGGATGTTACTTTAGTACTTTAGTAGTTTTATTTTGCACGAAATTGCACGTTTTGAGGGTCACTGAACAATATTGCTCCTTATAGATAATGCTGCTTGAAAATTGCACATTTTGGGATTTTACTGGACGAATTTGCAAGATTCAAATTTGTATGGCATAACATGTAATTTCTATATTTTCAATTTTTGAAATTTTTTCATTCTTAAAGGTTTCATGTAAAAAAATGTTTATGGCCTAACCCAGCAGTGTATTCGGGTGGTCTATGAAACCCGAGTGCCGTTTAATATGTATCAATTTGCATTTTATTGCACTATGAATTTAACGTCTATACTTCTAACGTCAGGATGCCTACTGTCTAAGTAAACGTTCTGAGTTATTGCCACAGGGATACGTTTTTTACCACAAACTAGGCTCGAGACCCTTGGTTGCTACGGTTCGGGGTCTACGTTCGGGCTCACGCCTTAGTCAGGAACAACTGATAAAATTGGTGTTGAAACTACTCGACGCCAGAGAACGCTCTGTCATCGACTTTGAATCTTAGTACTCGACTAATTTGGCTGGATTATCCTCATTTGGAGTGCTTGACACTCTCTGGATCTGATCGAATCATCTGTATATGAACACAAACCTGACGTATATTTTTAGTTGGGTGCTTTCAAGTCAAAGACTTCTCCCTATAAACTATAACATTTGTTTTGAGCGATTTGCGCTGTAAACAGAACTAGAAAACAATGAAAGGAATTAAGGAGCACAGGAACCAATGAAAAATGATTCGTACCTGCGACACTGATGTTGAAGTCGGCGATGCCTTCATCTGGCTGGTTGGAGAAGCCCACAACGCAGCGAAACTGGGCGTTAAAAGCAATTGTGACTCGTTCCACCGTAAAACCGCAATCACCTTGGCTCAGCCCGCTGCCCGCGTACTTAATACTATCCTGCGTCGCAGGGAGACTCTCGTTTAGGTACCACGAGCGGCGTGAAGGCCCCACGTTGGGCGCCAACTTCTCGATGCGACAGAACTTGAGCGCGCTCTCTGCATGGCACACCACCGTCACCCTGTCGCCCTGACGCGCCACAGTCATAGGCGGCGCCACCACAATTGCTGGACGCGGCCACACCACGACTTCGCCATACTCACCTGTGCACATAAAATTGTGTGGATTAACTGTGGATTAAATAGGCGAGGACTGTTCAAAACTATTCATCTTCAATATTTTCTAAGGTGGCATCCATTGCAGAGGCATTCCTTTGCGGAAAAGGTTAGTGAACATCAATGCATTTGTGTGCTTTTGCCTCCTCGTATACATAGTATAGAGAAAGTTGAACAATATTGCAAAAAAATAGGTGTCGAGATTTTTAACAGACGCGTTTTGGAAACCATGATACAGGAAAAGTGATTTCATCAATATATCTGCCTATTAACAATATCAATGTCTGAACCTTTCGCAGTATCTTTGCACCTTTCCATGTCATGCATATTGACATTCCCCGATTGATTTGGTTAATGTCACCACTCACTCAGTCTTGAAAGGCTATTTGAATTTTAGGGGCATGCTTTGCGTAGTTTCAAAGACATTTTCGAAATTTTCTCGAAAATTGCTTCAGTTTTTTTCTCTAATAGAAAAGTATTTTAATATAAAAATGGTGCGCGTCAGATTTTAAATGAAATATCGAGTTTTTTAAAATTGAAAAAGTTAAGAATTTAGAGGAAGGACACCTTCCTCTAATTACGTTGTTAATAGATATTTTTTGAAAATGAAATTTGTTCTTCAAACTTATGCTTGGATCACAATTTGAAGAAATAAATTAGATGACACAATTTAAATTAATGTCATATATAATTTTTCCAAAATATAAGTAGTTTTCGCGTTATTTTCAGTAAAATAAATACAATTAAAAATACCTGAACAAGATTTTCTCAAAACCGCTCTATGTTTGATTTTCGTTTTTTTTCAAATATAGCAATGTTTAGTTAATAATATGACATAGGCTCAAATTTTCGAAAATTGCTGTGTTGAAATTATTACATTTATCTTCACCTTCAATATTGAAACAAGCCTTGTGTTGCACTGCAACCCATTCTTCAATACAAGACGTTCAAATTATAACCGTTTTGAATAGTACGTGTTTTGTATAGTATTCCTCGCGACCACTGGCGCTAGTTTTTGACCGGGGAGTCAACCGCAACTGTGAGTTTGGAGCGTTTTAAGGGTTTCTGTGCAAAATGGTGGTTCTCGAATTTGCGAGTGATTTGAATTGAAGTCTGTAAAAGTGAAAAACTAGTAACTATTGTCAAAGATTGGATGAGGAGGAAGAATGAATGGATGTTTCAGAAGGAGAAGCCAACAGTGATGAAGACTAATCGCTAGAATCAGTACACGAGGGTAAATGCGCTCAGAAGGCGAGTACTGAAGACGATGACACAAATAGATACTTTGTGGACTAGGTCGTCGATAAACTGGAATAAAATATCGCCCCCGCTTCCTAAATTCCATTCAAAATGCAGCCGGGCAGGCAAAGGGGCATGATGCCGGACAGTCAGACGGGCAGTTAGATGAGCAGAGGGGCAGGCAGACGGAGAGGTTTAGCAGGTCACGTTTTGACGCCGTCAAAAATATTTCCAAAATCTGTCAAACACCAAAGCATGAAAGGTAAACAGTGATTGTCTTGGACCACCCTAAATGACCTCGCAGTTTGTAAGATTAATCTGAAACCCTTTTTATGCACGCCCAATATACTTCTGGCGATTGTTTTCGACAAACTTGAATCAAATTGTCGATGATCAGTCAGAATGGTTTACACTGTAGTGTATTAGGAAACGTACTTGATATTTAATTCGCTATCCGGGTGACGCCGAAGCCGCGTCGATGGAAAAAGTGCCGAAGTAATGACACCCTGAGGAAGGTCGCAGAATGACGATCAAAACGTCGCCATCTTTGCCATTGACGCGGCGTCACCCGCACAGCCAATTAAATACTGACTCCGCCCGCGGAAGCCTACGCTCTCAGACGTACTTGATTTTTATAAGCAGGATTTCATTTTGCAGTGTCTTCAGGTATCATGCCCGACTAATTTTAGATTAGAAGAAAAGGTAATATATTTCATCTACGATATTAACTCGAAAAGGAAGAAGAAGGGGGATGACGAGGAGAAGAAGTAGATGAAGGAGGTGGAGGATAAAGGAGTAGAAGTGGAAGACGGAGATGAAAGAACAGAACTATTTTTTCTTAGCCTAATTCTGCAAGTGTTCTACAATCACGTAAATTGTATTTTTTTACCGATACGTAGTAGATTGTTATTGCCTTTGATACGGAACTCGAAAGATACTGCACAACTTACCTGGATTGAAAGGATTGTGGTTGGGAGGGAAATATGAAAACAGTTGAATGATGCTACATGTTCTCTTATGGAGGGAATTATGGGAGGGAAATATGAGAAGACAAATAGAGTCAAGTTAACACCTAGTTAATTACAAAATAAGTAAAAACGACTCAATAAAATGAGGTAAAAAATAAAATTATGTACGCGGGCGTTAACTAGTTCTAATGATCTCGGGTAACAAAAAAAGCCCTCTGGCCAAAGTCCCCCCGGCATTTTGTCACCGCTCGTCCATTACAACCATCATACCGCCCTTGGTGCATAAATGTATTTGGCACATAGGTATTTCTCGTTATGAGTGACTCGTGCTCCTGCTCGCCTCGCGCATGCGGTGCCGGTGGGGCCATCGCGGAGGAGCGGCCAGTGCAAGGACCTGGGCTGCCGGCTGCGCGCAGCATCCTCCACGGCTGCCAACCGGTCGTCCTTCGCTTCGTACACCGCGATTCGTGGGGGTCGACGCCGAGACTCAAGGTGGCGTGGACGGTGTGAAGTCACGCCTGCAGTAAGTAACAACAGTACTGCGCATTACACCGCCTTAATACATCTATGTAACTAAGAGTTTGTGCCGGAAACTCACCCCTAACGATGGGGACGCCCGCTATAAGATGCAAAGTAAAAGTCAAGTGATTTGAAAGTTAAACGCATTCTGGAAAAAATATAAACAATATTTACTGAGACCACAGATATTTATAATCATGTTTCTGAAAATGTTGTTGAAATGGAGAATATCCTCCCCTCTCACGTAACCACCTACACTGCAAACAAGCTCTGCTGCGAAATATAGAAATTCTTTTTTTTTCTTCGAGCACTGTAAGAAACATAAATAACATGTTAAACTAATGAAAGAGACTACAAAATATTATTTTTCCACAAGGTTCTCTAATTAGCAAACATTAATATAAAACACGTTACTGTCATTTGAGAGAACTATTGGATCTACAGCAGTACAAACTATCTCGCATTATTTCTATCAAAATATACGTTTCAAACTCCCAGGGTCTTGAGTTATTTTAATCAGATCGAGGAATAGCAATTTTGAAGAACTTCACCTGAACGCTTTAGGTTCTTTATTAATTAATTTATTTCAAAACCTAATGAATTTACGCCATAATTTGGCACATTGACCAAATATACAGTTAGAACAAATATTCGATGAATGTATTGTATTGTACAGAAAGTATTGTCCCTTTCTTTTGTTTCTTCCCTTATATTTTGATTACGTAATGGTGGATTTTACAGATACTTCGCGTAAGTAAACACGTTCCTACTATTTTCGCAAGATTAGGAGTGTTAATAATTTAACAATGCCAATAATTCATTCACAATAGTTGTTTTAATGCATTATACAGTGAAACAAGAGCTCCTCTGCGCGACAGGAGGACGGGTTAGATATATTCTCCCCTTTTGGCCGAGGGACAAGAAGTCCCCGTTTTTCCCCGCGCTCTGGCACCTGAACTATTTTTCAGAAAATGAAAGTTAATGTATGCATTTTGTTGGACATTTGGCGACTTTAATTTTGTAAATTATTGCTTTTTCGTCAAAACACATAGTTGTGGAGATATAAATGAAAAACTGAACCAAAATTCGAAATTTGTTTTCCTTTTTGGAATTTTTTTTTGTGGGGACCTTTTTTGAAGTGACAATAATTATCTTCGAATTCAGAACCCAAAAAAACGTGGAGCCGTAGAGAAAAAAACGATTAGAATTATTTCATGCATTGGGCCTTTTTGAGCACGAGCAGACAGAACAATTAGCACTATTCTTACTAAAAGTTAGGAGAGAAAATTTGGAGTTATTTTTGAGAAATTTTGGAGCCTTTTATAATATTTTAAATATTGGCCACATTTCACTCAATATTACGTAAAGACTTCATCAGTCACCCGTCTCGTCGTCCGTCACGTAAGTACACAATTACTCCCCAAGAAAAAAATATTTCAAGAAGGCTACTCGCGCGCGATCTGTTGAGTGCTCAGTAACCCTTACGATAAATAAACCCTTTGCGAATAAGCACACAAAAGCTTATAATGTAGAAATATAACCGCGAATTACTTCCAAAAGTGAATTTGCAAAGCTGCAAATCGGTGCAATGAAGGGTAAGGTGGCTCAGGGCATCATTTGATCTCACTGCAGTGCCTCTTGCCGGGAGTACTTACATTTCGGGTCACAACAGACGCTTTTCGACACTAATTACATAGCTGGATGGAATTTAGCCGCTATAATAATAATAATAATAATAATAATAATAATAATAATAATAATAATAATAATAATAATAATAAATCAAATGTAGTTACTACTTACATTCAACTTTCATTGGGGATGTTGTTCCTATGTTTTCAGATACATCGCTTTGAAATATTACATCACAGCTAAACATTTTCGATTTTCTTCTGCACTTCACTCTGGAAGAATATCTCATTTGGTTTACGGAGAGATCTCTCCTATGTACATGCTTTATTTCATGGTTTGTATGATCACGTGACATGTTTTGGTCAACTGTAAGAAAAAAATATTTCCACGTTTTAATTTAGTCTCAGTATGGTTCTCCGTTAGACTCTTGACTTGAACTTAATAAGACTAGACATATATTTTCTACATTGTCCAATAAACAAATTATATAATGAGAAACACATTCAAAAATTATCAGTCATGACTTGAACTTAATAAATATTAACTATCTTCTACTATTCTTTGGTAAATTACTTAAATGCCATTAACTGTGACGTAAAATTTTTTTGAAGCACGTCCTAAGAGGGTAGCAAATTTATCTTGTTAAAGTTAATATATTATGTAATCGTAATTTGAAAAAAATATCACTCCCATGCTGTACTTAATACCTTTAAAAATCAATTGAGATTTTACCATGTTTAAAGAAAACTTTAAATTACCTTTCACGCCGAACAATATATTTTTGTACAGAAAATATCAATTTATCTGTTAGTACACTCCTTTAATTTTTCAAATATTAAGAAGTTTCGAAACAAAAATTCTTACCCAAATACCAAGACATGTAGCTTGGTGGTGGAAAATCAGGAAATGCACAAGTAGCAGCCAATGTGTCATTATCATTTAATATAAATTCTTCATCATTCGGAAACCTGTCACTAATTCCATAAGTTGTTAGCTGACCCGTTGATGAAACATATACTTTGGAATCATTTGAAGACTCTAAATTGGAATCAAAAGGGAATTGTTTAAGAATTTTATGGGTTGAAAGAGGAATATTCTCCAATTATAATGCAATTGCATACAAACGATAAAAATAAAAGTTAATGTAAAGACAAGTAAAGACGTGAAGAGAAGATACTATGAAACAAAAGTATATCCCAGAGACACTGAAATTGGGCTAGAGGAGAAAATCGTAAAGAAGTTAGACGAAATAATATTTTTGATATCCGAAAATTCAGAGAGTTTAAAGAAAACGAGATTAGCTTAATTTTTTAGTGCCTTTTGCTCTATTAATTGGGGAAAATTTAAGAAAAAATGGTGCTCTTTTTGAGAAAATAGTTATATGAAAATTGACTGTATTTCTCGCAAAAAATACTCAAAATACTCATACTACTCATATTCTCGGATAATTGTACATGACCTTATTACAAGACCTGTCTTTTAAAGCATGAGAAAAACATCTGTCTTCAACATTGTTATTGTAAGAAGACGCCGAAAAAAATAAACTTGCAATTTTCGAAAATCAGGAATTCCAATGACAATGAGTCTTCGGCCATTATTTAAGATGTCCAAACTCTCTTCGAGAACAATGTTTACAACATTTAGAACCGTTAGTTGACAAATGTTTTGGAGATTTTGTATAAAGTACCCTCCAAAACCAAAATATCCCTTTCTAACTCGAGAGGACTTGAGTTCGATCAGAATGATAGGGGAATATCAATTTCACAGAAAATCGTTTCATCGGTTTAGCCTCAATCGTTAACCACTGATGGACGGACCGCTACACAGACATTTGTTTTGCCGTCAATGAATTTTTTGGTATCAAGGACCTCTAAAATAGAGACTATGACGACACAACATGTTAAATGAAGAAATTTTCTAAATTTTGCAACAAGATGCATCCATTTATCCGTTCCAAGTATCCATCAATAAGAGTTTTTCTGTCGAAAAACGGATTATTCTCGGCGAACAATTACAATACTTTTTGACCTTTTCTAGTGTGGCCGCTCTCGTAGGTTAGTTTATGATGAATTTTGCGGGTGTAGTTACATTTGCTTCGAAAGAAAAATATATTTTTCCAACTTTTCCATCCACGTAAATCACGTGAGATTAGTAGTCGATGGAGTGGGAAAAGTGTGACTTAAGTAACATATCATGTCATTGGCCCAGTTTTCGTTTGTTTGGTTACAGAGGTAGTTTTTACGATATTTGCAATGTTTTTGAGGCAACTCTTTACCATCTCATGCCATTAATTATCGCACAAGCGACACTAATGGAAATTGTTTCTGCCGTGAGTAATAAGTTGGAGCTCAATGAATTCTAATCCATCCGACACATTGTTTTTTTGTTCTAAAGAACGTGGTATAGCCGAGGAAAAATTAAGCTACAACGGTAGAAAATAGACAAAAGGAAAAGAAATGGATGAAAAAGAATAAAGGAATAAAAAAAGCAAGTGCTTTGTATGGGTAATATTATTTTTTAATTTTTCTCGCACTACTTAGGCGAGATACTATAGATAAAAACTGTAATGCTGCAGCAAAACCTGCCTAAAAACTCGTTTGGTAGCGTATTTAATACAAAAAAATGCATAATTCTTGTTCCTGATGGAGTAAATAACTTTCAGTGGATCGTTGTGTAGGCAGAGTCCAAATTTTGCGGTTTGAAGATTTTCTTGTTGTAAATAAGATCATCTTGCTGAGTTTAAATAAATTAATAAAACAGAGATGATAAAAAACATATTTAGAACACTGAGAAAAAAGAAGAAAAAATATGACAGAACGTTCGAAGATGTTAACCACTGAACGTAGGAACAAAAGCTGACGTGCCACCTACTTTGGACGACTATTTTGAACACATCCACCATCTCCCTACCGTTCTGCTGCTGCAGGCGCAGGAGACAGCGCAAGCCGCGAGACCCGCCCGCAGCCTTCTTCTGTATGGACAAGCCGCACTGGTCCAAGCCGTCACCAGCATCCGCGCCTGGCCTCACATCTGGGGATAATAGCCTACAACTTTAGCTGATTTACCTTTGCCAACAATGTTTTTTAATTCAAAAGCAGCTTTCGATGGCTTAGCCATCGAAAGCTGCTTTTGAATTAAAAAACATTGTTGGCAATGACAACATCTTTAATTATTTTAAAAATGCCAAAGATATCACACCACAACACCTATATGATTTACCTTTGCAAAAAAAAAATTTTCGTATCAATTCTTGCCAGAAAGAATTGTTGGTACTCGTATTCATTATTCAACTGAATACAAGTAAGAGCAGACATCCCAGAGTTGAAGAAACCGTAGACATATGGCTCGTCTCCCCATAGCGCGTCACATAGTTTTAAACTGTTTTTGATGTTAAATAAACACTGTGATAAACCAGAAATCTCCGGTTTTATTTCAATATAAAAATGACATCAAGACATTGAAAATAGCACGTACTATACGCGCAAGTTTTCTTGATATTCCATAGCAGGGGGAGCGGGAAGAGGAGGGATTTGGCTGAAAAGGGTGTACCAACTGTGGGAATGATCTTAATTCGCAAAAGTATGCCAAGAGAAATGCTATGATTGTTGAAATGCTATGAAAGTACGAGGTGGTTGTTGCCAGCATTGTAAATTGGTACGTGCCGTTTCCGAGTCAAACCTATGTATCTCAACGTGTCATGCTATTCAGCGCTGGATGAAGATTAGGGAGCTCGTGTATCAAGAAAACTTGCGCGAGTAGTAAATTAATGCATATAGAATGCGAATAGTGAAAGAATACACGTTGTCAGGGCGACTGGTAAACAATAAAATATGTTCTATGGTCGCGGGCAAGAGGCTTCCATTTGTGGAAAGGGAAGAGGGCCCTCTCTCACGCCAGCCATATATGAAGAATGCATGGAGAAGGCGATGCGAGGTGTAAGCTTGTAGACGTTTTGTAATTTTCACTCTCTCGCGCTGACTGCCTTCGCGGACGCACCGACCAGACGGTACGAGCACCTTTGATTGAAATCGGGATCAGTATTTTTCAATTAGGGGGAATTGGGTACACGGAATTAATCCCGATGTTCTGAAAAGTTGTACATGTTAATAATTTAGAAATTTTATAGTATTTGTAGAGAATATTAAGTAAAATCTAAATAGACTTCGTATTGGAAACGAAACTGATAATAGAAAAGATTCGTAGACGGGAGTTGTGTTCAACAATTCGTATTGAATATAGACAGTCGCATGTTGGCAGCACGTGTGTGAGATCACATTACACGTGAGTTAATAACTGTAATTAACTGTTAATAACAACTGGCATGGGGCACATTCGCAGTGTATGTTGGCATGAATTCAACCCATAAATTACAGTGCAGTAAAATGTATTTGAACACGTGGTTCCTTAAGCGCATTTAACAGAACTGGTGAATTGCAATGCACGTTTAGTTTACGTTGAAATAATGTTACACGAACTCATTAATTGAGAATTTTCGGGTGTGAAACAACGTATTTGAGACGTGTAGTTTACCGGTTAATGCAGCAGGAATTAGTTACGTGAAGTGTAAAACTTACGTCTTACGTTCAGTTCACTTGAAGCACACGCAATATATAACAACACTGAGAATTAATCACTTCCACATTGTAACTAAAAGGTGATGTGCCCATGAGCTTATGTATAGTGCATGTACCACACATGGTGCCATGAGGCTACTTAAGAGATGCGTAATTGCATATGTGAGCAGTTATGAACACGTCTGCACTTGTCAAAGATATGGCGTAACATTAACGTTTTTGTAACCGCTTCGCTTCGGGACACGCGGGCCGGCGGTAGGTGCTGTCGACCGCGGTCGGCAAAGTCCTGCACGAGGGGGAATCGCGAGTGCTAGTTTCCCCCGCTCGCTTCTGTGAGGTAGCGGCGCTCGTGGTTGAGTGACTGAATCAATTGACGATTGCAGAGGCCAGGAGGTGGCCACATCTGCGGTCAGCAACAGAACAAGTTGAACATAAATGAGCGATATCCGACTTGTTTGATTCTCTAGAGCGTGCAATTACGTACGAAATGAAATAGCTGAATAATACAGCGAGTTCTAACAAGTTTATTATTAAGGTGTCATCGAAATTGTAAATAAATATTAAGTTATGGAAAAGGCTGATAATTTTTAGCAGTTGACATCAATTCAAAATAACCAGTTTCAATTAACAGAATTTCTAGAGATCACAATTATGTATAGATTGCTCGTCCACGTACTACAGGTGAGAAGATATGGTGTATGTCGAAATTCGTAAGTAAATGGAAATACAATTAAATAATATTTCATTATAAGGCAAATTTATTAGCATAGCAGGGCAAATGAATAATAAAAATATTTACAGATCAGTATTATGTGCTTTTCCATTGCGTGCCCAAGCAGAAAAGTAAAAATATTAACAAAAATAGAGAACTTCATTCTTTGGTGTTTAAAATACTAAAAGGAAACATTAAGCGCTGCGCGCGATGGGGTAATGGTTAGCGAATCGGACTGTTATATCCAAGTTGGTGGGTTCAAACCCGGTCGACGTCGTGGATTTTTAAGGGCGAAAAAATCCTTCCTATGCCTTCCTTCGGAGGGGAAGTAAAGCCGGCTGTCCCATGTTAGTAGATTTACTGTATGTAAAAGATCCTCCAGCCTAAATGACGCCTCTGAGCTAAATTCAAATCGCCAGTTTCGTCACCCGAGTGATACCTTCTTTCTCCGGTAGTTGGTGAAAGGAGCGTAACGAAATTTGCGTGCTCAGACGGAAGATCGGGCCCGAGTCTCGCCACGTAAAATAAGGCATTAATTCATTTCAATATTAGTATTATTTATTATATATTTATATTCAATATCTGTTGGTATTTTACAATACGTAAATAAATCACCTTCCTTGAGACTCCACGTGCGGCGAGAGCCGTCAGCACTGGGCGACGCTCCTTCCACGCGGCATCGCTCCAGCGGAAGCCCGCGCTGGCACAGCACACTCACGCTAAGGCCGTCGTGGCTGATCACTGCAGACGGCTGAGCAACGGCGCCGCACGCCCCTGCACCAACACAAAGAACTGGTTTGACCAACTTCTACAAGGTGCTGCGCATTCATTTGTTGGTAGTTGGAGTTCTACACATTGCATGTAGCAAGGACGATTTCCGCCACTGTCGGGATGAGAATTCTAGCTGCCTGCGGCTCTGATCGGTAGTTTTCCGTGGTTTCTTCGATCAACACCAGGCGAATGCTAGAGTACTTACTCCCGTAAACGTGTGACATAATCTCGTATAACAGCTTCTAGACCTGATAAGTGATATCGAAATGGGTCATGTTTCTTAGTTCGTAATTGACAAAATGAAATTTTTTATGTTATTTTTTGCGGGTAAGCTTTTCTGGGTATCCGTTGAAAGCTTGGTAACAAACATGCAAAATATCTAAGACTCTTAAGATGACTAAGACAAGCAACTGTTGCCACTGCGATCACTGGCTGGCAGGTCCTAGGGTTCGGGCCCCTTTGAGGGCGAATTTCGAAGTGCAATATTCAATTCTCCCGCTGCATAGCGACCGGCTGGTCTGATCGGTACTTCGTCATGTATTCTCCGGTCAACACAAGGCAAATGCCTAAGCATCACCTCACAAACGCACCATGGAGTCAGCGCGAACATTCCTTCCTCATCCCTTACACACACACACACACACACACACACTCACATGCACTACACTACCATTCAAGAAGGGAGTCCGGTCGGGAGCTTAGAGCTTGTTCGGGATGGGGCGCTGCCATGCTGGTGGGAGATATCGAGTTGTGGGAAACCCCGCAAATCGACGAGTATGTCGGCGCCGGATCTCGCCATCCAATGAGGAATGATAACTAACTCCTGTGATTAGAAAATGCACTACACCTACGTGACTAATACCCTCAGCAGTAGACGCCCGCGGAATCAGTAATATATCAAACCACACCTTGCATACATACCTTATACAGTAGTGTACTCTACTCACTAATCAACGAAGTCAGCTGACCAAATAACGAGACGCCTAGTACACAAGACATAAAAAATTAATACTCCCATTCTTGATAAGGCAATCAAGACTTGTTAGTTGCGAGTTTTCAGTATTTCACACTCATCTTGTAGCTTGCTGTATTCACTGACAACGGAGACAGCTGAGCAAGACCAATACTTGTGCTGGTACTACTGTGCACCAGCACAAGTATTGGTTCTAATCTCCTCAACAAGACACTGCACACACGATTTCGATACATTTTTCACTTATTGTTTTAGCTGTCAATATTAATGACGTAGATGGCTGAACAATGACCTGGATGCCACAGCACCAACACAAAAATAGGTTCTATCATTTTCCAACTAGTGATGTCGCAAGAGAACATACTTTCTCACATTATTTCTAACTTTTGTAGTGTTCAATAATTGAGAGACTTCAACGAAACGTGTCCTTTGGTCTATCCTTTCAAAAGTAAATAATTTTTTAAATGGAGCGTTTTTTGATAATTTTTTATATATTGTATTAATTTTAGTAAGATATTACTTTGAAATTTCGCGTATTTTACAAAATTGTACATACTTTTTTTGAAGATCTAATGTTTTAGAACAAATTTTAAGGCAAATATCTCTACCTTCAACATTGTACTTTCGCAATGTTTAAGTTTTGCAATTTTCGAAAATATCTAGAATTTGCGGGGGATCAGCGTTCATTTTTACCGTTCTTTAATACATAAGAGGGGAAAATTTAAAAAAAATTGAAACCGATTTTGGAAAAATAATAGTTAAAATTGTATATACTTCACACAAAATGATGTGAAGACTAATCTATTTTAGACAACTTATACATAACATTATTTCAATATCTATCTTAGAACAATAGAATTATTTTAAGGAAAAATCTGTATCTTCAATATTGTAGTTGCAGAAAGACGCCAAACACAACGTCTTTGGTTGAAACATCTCTCAGTATTTGGCTTGTGTTTAACAGAAACATTGAGCACTTGCCCGAAAGAGGTAGTTCTTTGTCTCTGCTGTCCATGTATTCGCTGGTACCATTCAATCATCTCTTATTTGTGGAGATATATTTCAAATTTTTTAATGTACAAAAAAGAAGCGTTGTAAACAAAAACGCGTGCGCAATTTGACAGTGAAAACTTTTTGTGAGAGGTAGGATGCTCAGTTTATGTTTTAATGGATGTTGATACGCAACAAGGACATCTAGTAAATTAGATGGCAATTGTACAGCACCATGGAGAACAGGGAACTTATAACAAAACTCTGTGCCTGGGACAATTGCAACTTGCTGTGGAAATTCGTCTGCTACCTCGCGCAATAATTGTTTTGTGAATTGAAAGGGGTAAATGGAGTAACAAGTGCAAACGCCATCACAACGAAGAATCAAATTTGCGGAAATTTTCAAATCTTTTGTTTGGAAGTTGAAGGAATGATGCACGTTCAAATGCCGTTGTTCACAAACTTTAGCATATTTTTCTTCGCTTAAAATACAACAAATCAAAATGTGTCGCGCCATCTGATTGATCAGAAATGCACTCAATTGGTAATATTTGACGGCAAAAGATGTTCAAATTATTGCGTAATTCAAGTCATCGCCTTACGTTTGCCGCATTGAGTACCCCTACAATATTTCGTGTTTAAGACAGTAACAAACGAATACGACAGTGCAACGATGAAATAAGTTTGCCAAAGTTGTCAAAAGTGAATTTAAAGCAATAATTTACGTTTAGTCGCCATAGTTCCCCAAATTTAGCAGACTATTCTTGCCTTAACGAAAAGCACATCAAAATGGGTGCCTCGCCATCTGATTGAGGATAAATACACTCAATTAGAACATTAACACTAAAATGTGTTCAGGTCAGTTACGTAATTCAAGTAAACCACATACACACGTTTACCGCAAGTGATGCCACTACAATATTTCGCATTTCAGTTCGGTCTGTTGGCGGCAACGAGACTCGCGTTTATTGAAATTCTGTATACGGCGCTGTCGCACAAGGTGAGGAGACAGTTGCACATGTTGCTTCACCATTGCTTCAACGATCTCGCCAGTGTTTTAAAATTCTTGTACCTTTTACACCGCTTCCAAACTCTGTAACATAATTTGTTTAACTTTGTCTACGCATGATTACTCTTCAAATTGTAACATGTATCATTGTTTCAATCTTTTCAAGATTGAACTACAGCAGATGAAAGTGATTGGAATTTCCATTCAAAAAAGAGAAGTTTAATCAGCCGTAGGCAATGAAAATAAATAATGCGTCAACAACATTTCTTCTACCACGATTTTCTGTTGGTTAGCAAATTCAGATCTTCAATGTTGTGGACTTCTTATACTGAGAGTATCAATAATTTGGGGTACGTTTCATTTACCCAATGTTGCAACAAAACAAAGTACAGAAAGCAGACTTATTGCACAGCTGATAACCGAAATGCACCTGAAAACACTTAAGCGCTCATAAACAATTATAATGATACAACGTCTGATATACATTTAAGGATGTCAATTTCTATTAGCAAAGAATTATCTTTTAATCTATTGGGCATTGAATAATTTCCAATATCAATATTACATGCACGGAATAAAAAGAAAAGTTGTAGTACATCAGATCCATGACACTGAAACAACGGAACTTGTAATGTCTGATATACTTTTAAAGATGTCAATTTCTATTAGCAGTGAATATTCTTCTAATCTATTTGGCATTGAATAAGTTCCAATATCAATACTACATGCACGGAATAAAAAGAACAGTTGCAGTACACCAGATTCATGATACTGTAACGAGGGAATGTTTTACAGTATCATGGATCTGGTATCCTGCAACTGTTCTTCTTTTGCCGTGCGATAATTATTCTTATAGGTTTCCCGTTTAGTCACAATTGTGAACAGTTTTGGCGAAGCTGTCATAAGACAGTCCACGAAGAAGCGAGCGGACGGGACAGACACCTTCGCTGCGCGATGTAGTACCTGCGAGAAGCAGTAGAGCGCGCAGCATCGTGGAGCCTCCCGGACGCAGCTGCCGACTGCCGAGCGGAGCCGAGGCAGGCTGTGCCGAGGCGGGCTGTGCCGAGGCGCTGGCCGGCCGAGTGTGACGAGGCGGAGTGGAGAGGGAAGGGGTGGAGCGTAGAGGTGCGGGCCGGATTCGGAGAATTGGCACAGAACGAAATGGCTCGGGACGGGACGGGACGGGACGGGACGGGACGGGACGGGACGGGACGG